GGAAGTCATCTTTCTACAACAAATTGTTTATTTTATCATAGAAATTTTAACGCTGCGTTAAATCAAGTATGCATCATGGCTATTTTGGTTCAGTTACTTCACGTTTGGATGGCACTGGTATCTCTGTGGCTGATCGCCCAGGTTAATTTTATGTCAGTTCTTGGTGAGAAAATTCCTCACATGTTTTCAGAGGAAAACGGATTCCAGACGTAGTTGAATTTGTAAACAGTTGTGTACATTACATCACGTTCAGTTATAACAGCTTTTAATCGTTAGGGTGACAATAGGAGCCAAACAGCATACTGGGAAATTAAATTTTAATTAATTGAAGTTTTGCTTTGTTAGATTGATAAGCGTAGGAGTTTAATTAGGTTTAACATCACATATGCATAAATCACTGCTTACAGTGATAACAGCTGCTATAAAACACATATATCAGAAAGTATTTCAGAGATTTGATCTGAAATGATTTACTTAATAAAGTACTTTTGCTGGAAGAAAAGGGTAGTTTCCCTGCGGTTATTGAGGTTTATACGAGCTTTCAATTGCAGTGCAAAAGCGGTAAAATGAAGTCTTGGCATAGCCAATGCTGCTTTATTAATCTGTCCTCGGCAACTGTACTCTTTCCTCCCACCATAGATCGTTTTTTGTTTTTCCGATACTTGTCGATTGAAATCGATCAAATCAATCAAAATCGATCAAAATCAATCCTAATCGAACAAAGTTTATCACAATAAATTGTGTGATCGACTTTTATCGATTTCCGATATTTGTCGATTGATTAGTATCGACAACAATCGACGATGATCGATTTTTATCGACTATCGAAATTATCGACATGTTACGTCCTGATTATATATAGCTTGAGCACATCGATTCGATTGAATTTCGTACGACTTCAAATGCAGAACGTTTAGCTCAATTGCAATATAGCTAGTACTTCTCAGTATAACGACTGCCTGGGTACACGCGGCAAAGCGTCTAGTTATCTTGCAGTTCCCACCAAACCAATGAGCTGTAAAATTTTGCAGTTCAATGGCGTCTTGACCAGGGAATGCCAGCTGTTTTGTTCGTGGAAATTCACATATTACACCGACACTACCTGGAACTAAACCAACACTGAAACCTTACCATTTTGTTCATATCGACCTCAGTCTCGTCAGTATGCGTCCTTTTTCAATCGCTCTTCGCGCAGAACCGTGAAAAGACGTGAGCTTGACATGGTGCACTCAGCCGAACGTTCCTCGTGTTTGCATGCCTCGTTACTTGCACGTAAATATTTGGCTTTGTAACCTGCCATTCATGATATCACGTGATCTTACAAGCATGAGCGCAAAAGATCGGACTAGGGTCTCATAGAACAGTGGATCGAAGACAAGGGATAATTTTTTTTTTCTCCGGCGCCGACGTTGTTCCATATCCTCGGAGACCCAGGGACTGTCAGTTGGGACGATGACTCTCACCCGGAAATATCGCATCGTCCCGACCAATAGCCCTGGGAGTTATCGGTAAATGTAGGAGACGAACAACATGAAAACAGCTGCCACAAACACAAGGCTGCATGAGGCCAATTTGCCACAGAGGGTTTTTGTTTTGAATTAAATTGAAAATTTTTAATGTAAATTTGTTTCGAATTGAATTGTAAATAGTTTTAACTTTACGCAGCTAAAGTATATTTTAAAGTGTAAGTAGTCTCCCGATTAGTTTTTTAAGTTCATTCAAAGAGATTACTTCGTGGAAAATGCGAGCGTACGGTTTTTATTCACGAGTCTAGTTTTCTGATACTTATCAACGAGTGAATAAAAATCGTACAAAGCGTTTTCCTTACTGTAATGTGTTTATGTCATAGGTATTGAAATTTTTTCGTGTAGTATTTGGTAGCCGGTCAAATTGCACAGATGGGACGCTGGAAAGCGTAAAAAACAATAGATTAAAATCGCTCAACAACAACTAAGTTAATGAAAGCTTATAACATTTACTAAACTTACTGTGTTCATCATATATCAATACAGTCAAATGTTTAGAAGCCTGTCATTTTGAATTCCTGCCTTCTGAGCCATTGTCTTCATTGAACCGTTTCATTGGCGTTTGTTAACGCCAGTAGTGCCGAACTTGAACCAGCCTTTTCTTGCGAGCGAGTCCGACTCGCTCGCGGGCTGCCTTTGAGATGTTGTTTTCGGCCAGGTCAAAGGGGGCATCGTCTTGATTCATTGTAAACGCGACAGGATCACTTTCAGTTCCGTCGATCGCAAACATTTTCGGTGGTACAGCTCTGACATCGCTGTAGTCTGATCCATTTCTAGTTTTTGTCTGTCTTTCGTTAAACTCCAATTACTCCACTCCGCTTGCCGTTTTGTGTAGCTTTACATCTCCCCAGCACATATCACGATGTTCTTTGCACCCACCGAGTCCAAAGTGAAGAGTGTTGTTTAGCCAGAGCGTGTTTAATTGTTCCACGGGACTACACATACCGAGCAAACCCTTGTCGTACAATACCTTTAACTCTTCGCTTGTCAACGTTACCGATGCGTTGGGTTTATTCCTTTTCCTTGCTTTTTTAGCTCTTTTGCTTGGATTGAAGAACTTTTCTGGTTTTATCAGAGACCAAGTCGTTGTAATGCTGGCAGAATAGCCCTTTTTCTTCAAGTGTCCTTCGAAGCTGGCTCAGGCTGTCCTTCTTGTTCTAAAATNCCGATATTTGTCGATTGATTGGTATCGACAACGATCGACAATGATCGATTTTTATCCACTATCGAAATAATCGACATGTTACGTCGTGTTATATTTCACGCACGCATCGAAAATCTCAAACAAACATTGACGGTCTTAACAATCAAGAGACTGGCATCACAGTTCAGCGTTTGCAAATGGGGTTATGCATTTCTTCGCAACCGCAAGATTATGAAGGCTTCAAGCGATACGATGGTGGAACCTTGCTTTGTTTCAAGCACGGAGAAGGGACGTACCTATACGAAAATGGCGACATGTACAAGGGTGAATGGAAATGGAACAAAAAGCACGGACATGGTGTTTATACGCATGTGAACGGAGAAATGTGAGTCAATCTACGTTTAAGCTATAGGTAGCTTATCTCCTTCTCGGTTAATAACTACAAGGTGGCTACTAGTCAGTTTATACATGTTTGTGAAATGCACATTGATGTAATTAGCCTGCCAGTATTAACAAACAATTGCATTTGCATGATGCAATAATTCTAACGAAGAATCAGAACATATAGCTTGTATGTTTTGTGATTTTCGACTCGGCTTTCCTATTTCGACGACCTTTTTAAACGTTAGAAGGTCAGAACCCATTTACTGCATTGAAATTTTGGATTTTATATTTATAGATATTAAATGTCCTTCCACTGTAACTTCCGGTACAACGTGACGAAACAGAAACACTATGTATTGCGTAAAATGTTACGGTTGTCCAGGTATATTACTTTGGGCAAGTCCTTAAAAGCCACTGTTCAATGCGTAAAGATGCTTCGTTTAAATGGGAAACGCGATTCCCTTATTTTGTGTTTAATGATTTTGTCATTAACGATACCATTATTGCTTTTGTTTATCACTAAATGGAACTTTCGTTTTTTAAAGTACTGAATCATATTTTTATTAACGCAGAAAACGAGGTTATTTTTATCAAAATGAATATATTGGACAAGACCCGGGTAATTTGTTTGCTGCAACGTCGTGTTTTGCGGGATTTTCTGGAAAAAGCTCGGAAAAACCACTGGCAAGTGACGAAGAAATAAGGTACGATTTATTTTCTTGGTTCCGTTCATTCATTTTCTCGTTTTATTTCCTTCCTTTCCTCGGCTGCCCAGTCGTTCTTCCAGATTCCCAGCTCACTTTAAATAATTATTTGATCGATAGATGAATTTAACTAACCTGCCTTACGACCTATGTTTGGTTGGTTACATTCCCCACCCTCCCATCCCTGCTCTCTCGCAAGTGATCTACGTTCCTCCCCGAGAAGAGACTTCCCCGAGCAGTGGCTGGTAAGGGATGGGCCATTATTTTTTGGAGGGGAGTGGGGGTAGGTAATTGCAAAAAAATCATTTATTTACAGCTAAAACTGCTGGAAACAAATAGTACAAGGGGAGCCATGGGGAAAAACCGAGCAAGTACCTTCTACTATTGTTAGTTTGAGTTTAGATGCTAAAAAATTCTTTCCCAACATGTTGACCACCTAAAAAATAATGCGCAACCTAAAGAAAAAAATTCATGCACCGGAAAACTGACCCAGCACCCCCCCCCCCCCCCCCCCCCCCCCCCCCNTTCATGCACCGGAAAACTGACCCAGCACCCCCCCCCCACCCCCAACCCCCCTCCAAAAAATAATGGTCCTTCCGTAACCGAGGCTATTGCAAAGTGTATTCTATCGTTTGTTTGACATACAAGTGTTGCGTGACCAATCAATGCCTTGAAGCCATAGATATCGAGTGATGACCCAAGTATTAAATATTTAATTAATTATTTAAATAATCGCCAAGAAAGGGCACGATAAACATTGACAACGAAATTTGCAAAGGAATGGTAAATTCGGTTGTAAAATAGTTGGTTTCCTGTTGTAGGAACCAAATAAGACTGGACGTCATGAGAGGAAGGGAAGAGGAAAGAGCTTCGCAAAGAGAGGAAAGACGAAAACGGAGAGATGAATTGCGACAGAAATATAATCTCTAATGAGAATCACGGAAATCTTCCAAAATTGAAATATTTAAACTCTCTCATTAATCACCATGTAATGTTTAAAGAGAAGAGAGAGATTTTAATACCTAGAAATATTTGCATAAAAGAAAAAGAAACTGCGATCAGGCGTTCTTCGTCGAAAACAGAACGCCTGATCGCAGGTTAAAGAAAATCAATTTGTAGAATCCTCGGTTAATGTCTTTTTCCGCACGAGACAGTGGTTGTACTCGGAGCTACTCGGCATAAAACACCCTCGTGTATATCTTTCACATGGAACATTTCTTAAAAGTATTGTGAATTTCAAAAAGTATTGAATTTCTATCCTCAATACGCTTCTGTCGTGTATAGCCATTATTACCCTGTGAGCAGAGTCTCTTTATATCGAAGGAGGCTCTGCTCCAGGGTAAGCCATTATCTGTGCATAAAGCAAACTATAATGATTAGATTGCAAACTCAGTATAAACCGTCATCAGTGTTTAGCCATTTTACTAGGAAATAAAAAGAAACTTTTAGTTAGGACGGAAAACTCTGTTACTGTTATAAAGTCATAGTGGCTCTGGAATTAATTCCACCATGTTGGTTGCGACGTATCTTGTTTCATCCCGCGATTTGTCAGAGGCGAGAAGCAAATTGACCTGCGCGCAAAATCCTGACAAATCGCGGTACCTTACTATAAGTAAGTCTATGCGTAATATCGTTTCGTAATTCGGTCAGTGAGCGTCTTTTTCGCAGATTACCGCAATTTCACAATGTGATTTAAGTGTGTGCTGCTTTTGTCTTCGGCAGAATGTTACAGTATACCCATGATAATATGCATGAGCAGAGCGAAAGTTATCCGCACGTGACATCATGGTTTTCAGCCAATCAAAAGAGAGGGCAAAATAAACCAAATCAAAGGGGTTTTTATGCTTTTTGCAAGGCAAATTCTACCACACATTTTCGCTTTTTTCCAGGGCAAAATTCGCGACATCTGTTCAATGAAATTAAATATTTTATTCTTTCGAGTGAAATCCATCAGGAGCTATTATTACATTACAAGCAGAAAAGTCAGTGAGGAAAGAAATTGTTAAACCTAAATTGTCAGCTGTTACTTGAAGCATGCATTGCTATCAAATAAGTGAGGGACAACCAACGAAAATAAAATAAAAAAAAGAAATGAAATTTTTTTTTCCAAGGCAATTTTTCCTCTGTCCCTGAGACATAACGCTCCATCGAGTAAGGGAAAACTATTTTAAGACACGCCGCCCGCATGCCAAAGCACTTGATTGGTTTAACGTGACATTCACGCCTGATACGACACAGCTGCAGTCAGAGGGGTGGTCTCTGATGTCGAGGCTGAATCAGGGTCTTCGCTGTTGATGACGTCATTTTGCTGCAGTTGTGAAGCCAGGACGGCATCCAAGGCAGCCTTAGCCGCGCTCAGCGTTGGCTCATGGGATTGAAGCACCCCTGTTGAAACCAAAACATGGAGATAAACCTCAGGTCTCACTTATTTTCCCTCGCTGTGGCTGGTTTTTATACCTGATATTTCCCATTTTTTATAACATTTTACAAATAGCTTCGAGAGTAACTCCTATCTCATGGGTGATGAATGGTTTTCGCCGGTTCATTTTCACGACCTGCTTGTGCCATGAAGTCCCACGGATAATAAACATTTTAGAGCCCCACCCTTCAACTTTCTGTACACGAAATCTGTGTGAAACCCAATCTTAACTCCACCCTGACAGAAAGTTTCTCCTGCATGCTAAGTCCCCTTCCTTTACCCCTAGTACTCCTTGAACATGACTACACATTAAAAAAATCGGGGGGGGGGGTTCCCGTAAACTGGCTACGCCTTAGTAAAATCGCTGTCAAACGAACTTTCAGCTTTAACTGTCGATGGTGTAACCACAAAGTATGGGGCGATTTTCAATTATGTCGAAAAACCAAAACCACAGTAATAACTCTAGCCAATCACAAAGTTCAAAGACACTTTAGTGAACCATATAACTTGTAGCACAGACGTATAGCCGACGCCAAGCGCGGGATAACGTGTGCGAGCGAGTCATGATTGGTTTTTGTTTACTCCTGATTGGATGACAAAGTGGCGCGAATGTTTTTTTTACGCCACACTCTCCCGTCGCGGCCCCCACATCCAGAACTCAGTAACTCTTACTGCCATTGATAAGCCAATGAGGACCTCTGACAATTTTAGGTTGTAGGTAACATGTGTGTATTTCTGAACTAAACCTTCAAGTACCTGAATCCTCAGTTGCTTCGTGTCCATTATTCTGAGCTTCTCCCCCACCATCTCCACCCTGAACTTTTTCCTGTTCGCCAATCCCCAACCCTCCTCCCTGCGAAGGCACCGTGACAATAGTAAACCCGTCATGGGTCCTTCTAGCCGTAGTCGTCACGCCATCCAGGGAGGTCACGACCACAGTCTCGGATGACTGCCCTGTTCCAGCCACGGCCTCCAGCGATGTCACGACAACTGTCTGCGGGGCGGACACGACCTGCACAGACGTCATGTCCAGCTCTTGTCCCGAGCTGTCAACAAGCGTGGAAGTCAACTGCTGAACGCCTTGTGACAGTGTCACGGCGTGCTCCAGGTCGCCTTGCACTTGAATGGCAGCATCAGATGCTATGGCAACAGGAATAGCAATGTGCCCAGTCACGTGACCACCCTCTGCCATGTGGTGTTGGATGTCTGCCAGGCTGCCGTCCATGGCCTGGAGCGCGGCCACCGAGGCCTCGTCTGCTATCACCACAGGCACGCCGTGTGCGAAGGCTTGGTTACCTGAGATGGTCTCTGTGTAGTCCAACCGCTGGCGCTTGTTTGACGGCTCATCCTGGCCAACATCATAGTCGCCTGAAGTTTGAATCCAAACAAAGTTGGTTAACACAGGGTTTGTAAGAGCATGCGCATTGCAAGTATTTATGGATTCAAATGCTGCTCTCCTTCGAGGTCCTTCATCAAAGCATCTGGTTTTAAAAACCGAAGCTGATTTTCCAGAGGGAAAAGAACACAGCTAACATAGGTAAACGCCGACGGTAAACGCCTGAACTCAAGTTGATATCTGCCAAGCCACACTTCGTATTGGTTTTTGAGTTTTCAATCGTTGCGATTTTGTCGTAAGTCAATGGTTAGTCCCTTCACTTTCTTCGAAATGCTAATGTGTGCAAAACCACCCCTGGAACAGAAACAAGGTTTTAGTAATCCTCGTTTAAGTACTCGGGGAGCTTCCGATTCTTACGATCCAATCAACGCTAGCGCGAATACTACGAAACTGTCGCGAATGTGTAAAANCATGTACTTCCTTCAAAATTATACCTTCAGAAATGGAGCAACTTGCCTCCAAGAGAGTTTTTGACGATCAAATTTGAGAAGGAAGCTAGGCGTAAACGCGAAACACGGGCCTTGATATCTTCGCTGTCGACCTTAGGCCCCATCCACACTACACCGGAGAAATTTGAAAACGGAGCTTTTATTTTTACGGTCCACACTAATCCGTCACGAAAACGAAGCTTTTCGAAAACGTTCCTCAAACCGGAGAAATTTAAAAACACCGGCTTTTTGTTTTCGTGTGGACGGAAAACGTTTTGAAAACGAAGCTTCTTGAATTCCCCGTCCGAGTTTTCCTCAAACACAAATCCAAAATAACCGGTGATTGTTGCGTTTTTAAATCCCTCCGGCGTAGTGTGGACGGAAAAAAAACATTTGATGCGTTTTCAGAGTGAAACCTCCGTTTTCAAATTCCTCCAACGTAGTGTGGACGCGGCCCAGTCTAAAATGTGCAAAACTTGGTCATTTCACGTTGTGTTTGCAGAGGACGCCACACGACGGCTACGAAATGTACAAAGATTAATAACGCACGTGCACAGCCATTGTTTTGCTCATTAAACCTTTTGTTTGGTGACGTTCTCGTTGCCGTTGCCGTCGTGGTTTGCTTCAGCTCCTTAATCATTCTCACCTGTATGAGTTCGAACATGTTTCTGTAGATCTCCTGACGTCTTGAAAGCTTTACCGCACTCGTCATTTGGACATTTGTATGGCTTTTCTCCCGTGTGGGTTCGCGTGTGACTCTTCAGTCCATATCCGGTAGCAAAGGCTTTATCACATCCGTCAACTCTGCATTTAAATGGCTTTTCTCCAGTGTGGGCTCGTTCATGAACCTGCAAGATGGCAAAAGGTATTTAACGTAACTATACCTTATAAATCTTCTTTAGCCAGATAATTCTAACAATGGTACGTAATTAATGAACAGAAAGTCCTTTTTTGAAGTAAAAACTAATATGAGCTCCAACTAAACGACGGAAACCCGTTTCTTATTAACAAGGAATTTCACGTCTTGGGAAGAATTTTGTACCATACCATTTATAGCCTCGCGTTGTTTCAAGACCTCTTTGACGAAGGCATAGTTGATGAAGCTGTCTTTGTGAACACCACAAAACAATGCTTAAAACAGAAGACACTGAAGCAGCGTCCACACTACACCGGAGAAATTTGAAAACACAGCTTTATTTCTCCGGTTAGGCCTGCCATCCACACTAATCCGTCACGAAAAAGAACTTTCGAAAACGCTCTTCAAACCGGAAGAATATGTAAACGCTGACTTTTCGTTTTCGTGTGGACGGAAAACAGTTTGAAAACGGAGCTTTTCGAAAACGATGGCGTCACGATAATCACGTGATTTCCCTGACCAAGTTTTCCTCAAACACAAATCCAAAATGACCGGCGATTGTTGCGTTCTTAAATTCCTCCAGCGTAGTGTGGACGGAAAACGTTTCATGAGTTTTCAGAGTGAAACCTCCGTTTTCAAACTCCGCCAGCGTAGTGTTGTTGGTACAAAATGTAAATTTGAATTGAAACAAACCTTTAGATGATGCGCTGTAGTGTACACTTTTCCACACCCGTCATGATCACATCTGTACGGCTTCTCCCCAGAATGAGTTCTCACGTGCTTTGTCAAGTCGCTCTGAGTAATGAACGCCTTCTCACAACCTTCCTCTTCACACCTGAATGTGTCTCCCGTGTGGCTTCGTCCATGCGCCTTCAGCCGGTACGAGGTAGAGAACTGTTTTCCACATCCGTCTATGCCACAATGGTAAATCTTCTTAGCTGAGCCCTGGTTAAGCCAAATTGAGAAAATGTAACTTCAAACAATAATGCTTGTTCCCTTTTTGTGTACATTGTAGTAAGATACTATTGACTAAAAGCAGTTTCAAAGTCACATACATATAGAGCGTTTTCATGTGACGTCATGGCAGCCATATTGGTGTTCCAAAACAATGAAATGGAGGCCTTGTTGGTGTACCCAACCAATCCTGTAAGAGCTGAACTCTTTTCTTACGTTAACACTTTCTTTTGTTCCAATAAATTTGTATGGCTGCTGACGCGTAAGTGAAAACGCTCTTTATGATTGATTTATGACTTAAATTTGATATATTGTAATTAAATCCCCTATTTAAATTATAATAAAATTATATTTAACCAATGAAATTAAAATCGACTACCTAAAAATTAGTTATGGCACATTCACAGGGTGGCTATTGGCCCACTGTTTCCGACTGAATTAGAATTTTGAAGTGTTTGGATTTTCTTTTTTGCAAAGAGGAAAACCAGGAAGCTCAGACAAAAACTTTCAAATCAAGGGCAAGAACCAGCAACCAAAATACAAACCAACATCAAAAATTTAGTTTCTCTCAGACTCTGGAAGCCATACCAGCAATTTTGCAGTGATCAATAGAAGCATTTTTTGGCTTGTTTGAAAGACACTGGCATTTTTTCCCAGGGAGAAATCCTTTCCAGGGTTTTCTAGTGGAAAGACTTGATCTCAGGTTTAAGGGTTCACATCCCATCCATACCTCCTGGTCTTGTCCACCAGAATCGTCCTGGAGCACAAACAGCGTTGAGTGATCCTCATGATCAACCTGATGAGTGTGATGAGTGGTAAACTGCTCCAGAGGAATTCCTGTCGTGTCCACTGTCTCGCTGGTGCTCACCATGGATGGGTTAGACTCAGATATTGTTGTCATGGAAACAGATGAGTTGGTATCAAAAGAAGTGGGTTCAGAGGTGATGACAAAACTAGTACCATCACTGCTCTGGTGGACATAGGTTGCTGATACAGAAAGTAAAAATAACAAATTATAATTGTAATTTCCAAGTCAAAAATAAACTCCATGTGCATGTAGTTAGGTTGACCAAAATGTGACAGCAGAAATGTTGTTTAAAGATAGCCAAGTGGATAATTGTAATAAACCATCTAGATTGAGCACTGTCAGCATTTGTCTTGTTGAACATGAGGTGAAAAAAAAACCAAACAAATAAACCCAAAATTGGTCACAAATTAGCTGTGCATTTTGTACCATAAATTTTCAGCTTGATATGACTCAGAAGTGATATTTTCTTAATAAACTCTAAAAATTCCACTCAAATCCTTTAAGTGCCCCAGTTAGATTCCAGTTATAAGCCCTGCCCATCCAACTTTTCCTTTATATTAACTTGTTCGCATCCTCATGGAACATTGTACTTCAATTAATTCTTGACAGGATATCAATAAATTTACGTCAAGAGTGCTGCCAGTTTAATCAGACTGGTTTTCTTACACAATATCACACATAAACTTTAGTCATTTCTTATCAGGTTACATGTATATCCAAAACATTTTTTTATATATATATTTCACTTTTAAAGTGCTTGTACCATTCATTGAATATATAACCTCCCCCAGTCACATTGCCGCATCTTTCAATGACACATGACCTTTGAAGTTCAACGTTTTTGGCTGCTGGCAATCATAATTACCACAACAACCATTTGCATCTTGAAAGGAAGATCACAATCAACAGAATCGACCTTTTGAACCTGAAGCAAACCTCTGAATCCTGAGAGGTCTGTTGGATGGTTGATGGCATTGAAACACCAAAAAAATTGATTGAGCTTGGAGTTTACATATTGTAATTGAACTAGGCAGAGTAAAGCCCACTCAAACTTGGGATTAGAAGCAGCATTTTATAATTTTACTACCTAGAGTACTGAGAGTTAACTGAAGTCACAGTACCTTCAAATGTGCTTCCAGCAGGGAGAGTCTGCACAGTGCCACCAGGTAGTTCTGTCAGGGTCACGGCCTGTGGCTCAAGAAACACAGTTCCACCCGGTGTTGAACTCACCACTACAGCTGACTGAACAAGATCACCTGGTGCCAAGCTTGTCTGCACAGGTTGAAAGGCTTCATTACCTTGAAAAACAGTCAAAGAGTGGGTTACACAGATGTGGAGGAAGTGAGATAGATACTGATATATAGATATACAGACACTGTTTGTATCTATATAACTGAATATATAAGAGAGATCATAGGGTATTTGAACTGCGGAGAAAGATATGAAGGAATCAGCGATCATGACAGTTCCATACTTAAGTAGCTCAGTGTGAAATTAAAGCCTGAAAAAAAATTCAGGCCTGAACAGGATTAGAACTGATGACCTCTGCGATACTGGTGCAGTGCTCTACCAACTGAGCGATCAAACCAACGGGGAGCTGGTCATGTTGTAAGTTCATAATACACCGTCACGTAGATAGTCAAGAATGCAAGTGAATATATGAATGATCATGTATTTGAACTGCGAAGAAAGATATGAAGACATCAATGATCATCACAGATATATACACAGAGTACAAGGGTCATGGGTTTGAATCCCATTCAATTTTTTTTCTTCACCCCTCCCTCCCCCTCTTCCATTTGCAAGATCAAGTAAATCTTGAAAATTATACTTCAAAATTCAAATTCCATCCTTCAAAGAATGACAAGACTTTGTGATAATAAGTACTCTAGTCTACAATTAAATATTTACCTTCTTGCTGTTCCACCGTGGCCATGATGGTTGCAGTAGCAGCATCTTGTTCTCCTTGTTGAGCTACTAAAATCGAATCATCTTTGACGTCAACATGGCTGTCATCACTCTGCAAAATAGCAGAGGAATCTTGCATTACAAACTACTGACATCTCATCGTGAAGTGACCCTCAGGAGTCACTGCTACATGTTCATGTACTAATAACTCACACTAGCTAAGATACAACTGGCAATCCAGCTACAGGTCACCTGTGTAAATCCCATCCCCCTTGCAAAACAATTCTTAGCCAACGTACTCATTTATACAGCCGGGCAAAGAAGTAAGCAGCGGGAATTATGAGTGCAAGTGTCTTGCGTAAAAGGATGCACAAATTACAAGGACACTGTTTGCTGTGCTCAAAGCCCCATTCCTAAAAGTGTTCAATCTCTCAAGGACAGCAATAACCAATTTATCTAGTACGTGTACAGCTGTATACCACATGCCTCAGGCACCATACCACAGGCTGGAGAACGGTTAATTATATATTTTTGTTGCTAATTGGATAGTACATTCTTTCATAGTACATGTACCTAGTTTTATTACACTTTCACTTTGATCCATTTTCTCTGAGTGGGGGGGGGGGGGGG